AGGACTGTCGCTGTCTATGTGTCTGGTGTTCTTTCCCCCCCACCCGTCCCGCCATATATTCCCGCGCCGGAGGTCCGATCCCCAGCCCTGCCCTTGGGCGCCCCTGCCCCCCTTGCTTGCCACCGCCCGGAGGGGAGGGGGAACAGGGGGGTGGGTAACTGAGAGAGCGAGCCTGGCCCGCAGGATCTGAACAATAAGTACAACCAGGTGGGGGCCGCGACGAGCTTCATTGAGGCATACAACTCGGTGCCGCTGGTCGAGCAGGGATGGGCCAAGTACTGCAGGGATAACAATATCACTGCGAGGGGCAAGCACGGAGGAGATGACGAGGATGAGGAGGAGGCTGAGGAGGCTGAGGGGAACGCCGAAGCCGCGCAGCCCGAGGGAGGCGCTGCGGAGCTGGACGGGGCGGACGCGGACGAGGGGCCCGCCGAGGAACGAGCTCCCCTACCACCCTACCACCCCGCCCTTCAAGTGTTATCTGAACGTTGCGTCCGTCTGCGCAGCGCAGACGGCACGCGTAGTTCGATGTTGCACAGGTGTTTCGGGTAAGCATTACATGTTACATATTGCATATACATGGTTCCATGATGGTGCTTTGACCTAGCCTCATACTAGATATGCTATATGTGCCATGTAATGCTTCGCGCAGTCCTTTCGAAGCCAGATTTTCAACTTTCAACCTGCGATGGTTCACGAAGCGAGCCCTCCCCGATGCCGCGGACATCGCCCTTCGCTCCTCCACCCGCCAACGCCCGCCCAACAGCGGCCCAACGAATGGGGGGGGGCCAGATTTCGGATGGGGGGGGAGCGCCGCTGGCGCACAAGCTTGGGGCGACACCGCCCCATCCCCACCCCTCGTGCCGATGTGATGATGTGAGGTTTGTTTTCGTGTGCCCCAGGACAAGAAGAGTAAGAAGTACGCTGACCACTATCATGACTACTTGACCTCGCACCACCCTGGCATGTTCAAGAGCTATAACGAGTTCCTCAACTGTAAGATATTCTACCGCGCGATGGTCAAGTTCGGTCTGTATGATGAGTACGTGGCGTGGTGCGGCAAGCATTGCCGATTCTCTGATACATCGCTGGACCGCTCCACGGTGATGCTGTGCAATAAGGATATCATGACTAAGTTTAAGAAGTACCCAGACCTTCGCACCGAGTGGCTGAACCGGGTCTCATCCTTCCCTGGGAAAGCAGCCCGGCCCCGACCCCGACTCCGTCGCACCCCCCTCCTCCTCCTCCTCCTCCTCCTGCTCCTCCTCCTCCTCCTCCTGCTCCTGCTCCTCCTCCTCCTCCTCCTCCTCCCCCCTCCTCATCCCCGTCTTCCCCGTCGTCTCCTCCTCCTGCGCTGATAGGCTGATAGGAAGGATGGGCGACTTCCCAAGGGGCCCTTGGCCCAGGGGGTCTTTTTGCATCCTTGCATCTTCTGTCATCTTCGGTCTATTCTCAACCAGCCCATTTCGATTGCCAGCCCCGCTTGACAACATGACAAGCTTCGGCATTGGCGTCCAATGGGCTTGCATCCTCATCCTGCATCCTTACTCTCAGTTTTGTCTTTACATCATTGCCCTGCCTTCCGAAGAGGTTCTTCGTTTGGTGGTGCCTTCCAACGAGGGCTCCCCGTGGCACTTCAAGTCGAAGGCCTCGCTGAAATCAGTCTCGAACTTTCTCCAGCAGATGCAGGAGAGCAAAGTCTTCCAGTTGAGCCGCCAGCCGAAGCCGCAGCCGATGTCGAACGCCCTCGTCGCCAAGCCCGCCAAGCCCACCACCGCCAAGGGGAAGAAGGGTAAACGAGCAGAGGCCAAGGCTAAGGCGGCTGCAGCTAAGGCCCTTGCATCTGGGGCCAGTGACATTCATGAGGTCCAGACGGGCAAGAACGGCAAGGCCCGCCCGGCGCTCTTCCTCGACGACGCCACGAACGCGATCGACTGCATCATGGCTCGCGTTCCAGATGGCAAGGCGAAGGATAGCAGCATCGAGGACGCCAAGAACTTCGTGGTATGCTTCGCGGCCTCGGGCAAGATCACAGTGCCCAAGCAGAGGGAGCCCGGCACCCCGGCACCGCCACCATCATCGCCGGCCAAATATCTGAAGTTGACCAGCTGGTTATCTGTCCGCTGCTACATCAAGGCGAAGCTTGTGAACGATCACTTCGACGTCATCGTCCCTAACACCGAGGAGGCGGATGATGACCCCGACTTGACAGGCCAGACCGTCGAGGCGGAGGCTGCCGCCCTATCAGTTGCCGCGAAGGAGGGGGGGGCGCCAACCGATGTGATATCCCGCATGGTCAAGGCCGACCCCAAGCTACTGCAGCGGTGCAAATTGTTTTCCAGCTCTGTTCAGATAGGGCTCAAGCACGCCGTCATGCGCAGGACCCACCCGCAGCTGGTGTCGGCCATCTCCGCTTTGTGGAGCTCTCTGTGCCCTCAGAAGTTAGCAGACATCTTCCAGAAGAGCTCTGGGACTACGGAGGCGCTGCACGTCATCATGGATTGCGCACTTCTCCCGGCTATCAGCTCGGCCATCGAGCCGTCTTTCGTCACAGTCGCGCGCTGCTGTTACCAGGCCGCCGCCGACTGCGCACCTTCAATCACGCCGCAGTGCATGAAGGACGCGGGCAACCTTTTCCCATCCAGTACTGCCGCTGCTGAGTTCGCGGCGCTGAGGACGCAATACATGTGCATCTTGCTGGATGAGGTCGACGCCGTAGTGCAGGCGTACATGGCGGACGACGATGAGGACGTCTTTGGGGCCAACGGCAAGGCTGCCGAGGTTGCGGCCCGGTGCAGGGCGGCATCCGAGTTCGTCAAAGCATGGGAGCCCGAGGTCAGCGCAGCTGACGCAGCAGCCCATGACGGCGTGAAGTGGTCGGTGCTGTGGGCAAGCGTCATCGGCCAGGCCAAGTCCATCAACGCCCGCGACTCCGCAGACGCCGAGACGTGCAAGAGCATGGTCGACACGATGGCTACGCCGGACAAGAAGGCCGCGGCCCTGGAGCTCAAGCTAGAGGAGGCAAGCGACAGCTCCACGATCGCCAAGGCCATGGTCGCCAAGAGGATCGCTGACACCACTGATGCGGTCAAGCTCGCGCTATGCCCTACGCCGGAGTCAGCTACCGTCATCGACAAGGAGGTTGAGAGTGCTAAGGCGGCGGCGGCCGCTGAAGCAAACTCGCCGTGGACCTCCTACGTGCAGAGGCCCTCCAAGGCCGCTTGGCTCGCGCAGACGTTGGCGGCCAAGGCGTCCGCGAAGATGCTCGGGGACATCGTGACCTACGACGGGAACGGCGCCCCGACCCACGACTCGTGCGTCGACCGCGCGGGCCGGTGCTTGTGGTTCAGGAAGCCCGTTGCGGGCACTGGCAAGTTCAGGCTCTTCATCGACGTCAACCACCCTGATGCCGCGCACTTCGCGTGCCACATGATTGGCAGGGTCCTCATCAGCCCGACGAGCGAGCTTCCGAGGGCTGCTGTTCCCGTGGGCGACGTGATGCTGATGGGCACGAAGTTCTACGTCAGCATTTCTCCGACCACAGGCGTGCCTCTCTCTACTCCTAATCCTCATCTCACTCCTTCTCCGACTCTCCTCATCCTCATCATCATCTTCTCACCCTCATCCCACCTTCCCGTCGCGTCCTGTGAGATGTAAGTTGCTAGGTTTGGGGTCGTATCAGTGCCAACGTTGGTCGGATTCAGCCGTGTGATTCCACCTCCAACTCCAAATCCAACTCCAACTCCTCCCCCCCCTTCTCCACATGGGAGGGGAGCTCCGGAGGGAGGGGTAGGACTCCCGGGTAGGACGTCAGATATGACGCGAGCGCACCTAGCTTGCCACCACCCCCTCCTCCCCTCTCCCCCCCCTCTCCCCATCGTTTTTCGATGCATCCTTCTCGCTGCCCTCTGGCCCGAGGCATGGTCAACGCCGACTCCGCCACCTTCGCCCCGGCCTGGAACGCGAAGGTCCTGGTCACTGGTCAGGACTGCGGATCGGCGCCGTGGACGCCGGCTCCTCTCTCCCTCCTGCCTCATGCTCTGCCCTACCCTCCTCCTCCTCGTCTTCCTCCTCCTCCTTCTCCTCCTCCTAAGGTAAGATGAAGAAAAACTTCGAGGTTGTTCTTGGGGGCCCTTCTCCTCCTCCTCCTCCTCCTCCTCCTCCTCCTCCTCCTCCTCCTCCTCCTCTTCCTTCTCCGCTTCCCCCTCCCCCCCCTGTCCTCCTGCCCGTTTTTGCGTATCTCTCTTCGCCTCCGCCCGCCTTGGAGGCAACGCAGCGGTGCGACGGGGCCCTTATCCCCGCCCCCTCAGGACTCCCCAGGGCTGACAAGGTCAGGAGGTTGAGCTGGGAGGGAGGGCGGGGCCGGAGGGGAAGAGAGATACAGTCAGCCCGCATAGTAAGGATGCGCCACTTGTCACGGCTACCCTTGCACCCGTGTCTCGAAATTCTCGCTGGCAAACCTGGTTCGAACAAACGTTGATGACGTGGCCCTCCCAGCCCTCCAAGGCCCTTGCATCCTTGCCGCGCATCCTCACTATGCTGCTTGACTGCGTACTGCCCCGACCCCAGGAGCGCCGGAGGAAGACCAAGAAAGGCGACCAGGAGCCGCCGTCGTTGCCGGCAGTGCTGCGTCAGGGCGCCACTCGGGTTACGGTCTCCCACGACGGCACGACCCTCGACATCGGGGTCCCGACGTTCACGATCGATCCGGCGTTTCCTAGGGGCGACGCCCTGAGTGTGCACGAGCTGGCCGAGGCCCCTGGAGGAGTCAAGCTAGTTGAGATGACCAGGCCAGAATTTCCGCACGAGGCGTCTCTCCGCCAGGAGCAGCCGGCAAAAGTGGCGAAGACGACGACCTCGAAACACACATCGAAGCACATCTTGTCCTAGGTGTTGCTCGGTTTTCCTCTTCTCAACCTCCAAGGGCTCCAAGAAGAAAACAGAAAACCACCAATGTGAAAATCATGCCCCCCCTCCTCCTCCCCGGCCTCCCCGACTAGCCCGGCTGACCTCGTCGCGGCCCGCGGCGTGGCAAGGTTCGGGATGGCGTTCGGCCGTCTGCGAGCAATTGCCCAGCGCCCGTAGCAGCAGCTGTTCTCTCTCAGCCCAGGGCGAGGCTGGAGAATTATTTGCTTCGTTTTGATTTTGTATTTTGCGCGACCGCCTCTAATGTGCGGCAGGGGCCTGATGTTTCCAGGCAACGACGCGGCTACTGTGGGTGTCTACAGGTCGGCTTGCCGACCGTGCTGCGCGCCTGCTGTGTGACAGGCATTCGTGTAGGTAGTAGTCGTAGTCGTAGTAACTACGTAGTAGCTCGTGGGCTGTTCCGTTCGTGGGAGTGGACTGGACTGCCCCTCGTGACTCGTGACCGGCCCCTGCGGCACCCGGCACGATAGGAGGACACAATAAAGATAAAGGCGCCCCGGAGGAAGATGGAGGAAGGGTGCAGACAGGGCGCGGAGCTCCTGGCCCCCGCTGCCGCCGCCGCGGCCGCCGCCGCCGCCATGGGCGGCGAGTGGGGGGGGGGGAGGAGGAGGGGAGGAGGAGGGAGGAAGAGGAGGAGGAGGAGGAGGAGGAGGAGGAGAAGGAGGAGGAGGAGGAGAACGATCAGGAGGGGAAGGAGGATGATATTTTGCATGAGGAGGTAGGGGAAGTAGATGGAGGAAACGTAGCAGGAGTAGGGGGGATGAGGAGGAGGAGGAGGAGGAGGAGGAGGAGGACTGAGGAGGAGGAGGAGGAGGTGGAACTGTTGAGGAGGAATAGGCTGAGGAGGAGGAGGAGGAGGAGGAGGAGGATGTCGGCCGGCCGGCGGCGCGGTCGATCGGCTTCGGCTCGACGGCCCTCGGCGGCGGCGGCCTCGACTTGATCAGTCAGTCAAGACGCTGACCTAAGGACTGCTTCGGGCTGGGTCTGGTTTTCGGACCATTCTTTACATTTATATAGTGGGACCAGTTCGTGGCGGCCTAGGCCCCTAGGCCCGTCGTGGCCAGAGAAGCAGATAATCACATTCGTTCCATATGATGCGTTCCTTGTGGTATGGAATGGATTGTACATCCCAGCACGTGACCACTCTCGCCTCTCACCTCGTGCAAGCTCCCCTCCTGCCGCCTGCTGCTGCAGCCGCCGTTCTCTTCCTCCTCTCCTCCTCCTCCTCCTCCTCGTTCTCCTCCTCCTCCTCCTCCTCCCTTGTCCTCCTCCTCCTCCTCCTCCTCCTCCTGATCCTCCTCCTCCTCTTCCTCCTCCTCCTGATCCTCATCCTCCTCCTCCTCGCCCTCGTCCTCCTCCTCCTCCTCCTCCTCGTCCCCCCCCTCCTCCTCCTCCTCTTTTGATTCGTTTTCGTTCGATTTCGTTGATGGTCCTATGTGTTTCCTGCGATTTCCAGCCCGCTGGCACCAGCGGTTCCAGCAGTCATTTTTGGTCGTTTCCACCCCCAACCCCCTGGTCTGAACACAAGCGGCGGCCACACAGATTTGGACACTTTGCGACGTCCCCACCCATTCCATATCGCCCAGCAGCCCCTCGGAAGACAGCCTCGATTTGAATATTTCAGCAGTGGGACCGAATGCGTCGCGGAGAAACGACCGAGCGTCGCGCTTGAACAGCTCACCCCACGCCCACTCGCCCCACACGGAATGGATAGCGCACGCGCCATCTCCGGCCGTAGACATAGTTTCCATCAGCACCCCTTGCAATTCTCGCACCGCTCGAGGCAAGGGCGCGTGAACCTCACGTAAGTCCACGACTGGCATCCGCGTGAGATTTGTCGGAGTTGCAGGCGAGCTACGCTCATGCCAATGGCTTTGCAGCAACGGGCGACTCTCGAGCAGAAACATCGACGAACGGCAACCGCCATCTGCGTCCGCATTCCTCCTGGGCCCCTCTTCGACCATTATGTAGGCCCTCTTCGGAGATCTGGAGAGCCTCCAGGGCCGTCTGGGGCCTTGGGCCCTCTTGGAGCGAACTGAGAAGCCTCCAACGCCGTCTGGGAGCGTCGAGAAGCGGAGAACGCGAAACTAGGAAGGACTAGCAACAACAAACGGTGAATCAATAACATCTGCCTGGTCGGTCCATCTGCGGCCTTCCTCGGCGCTTCCTGCGAGCGTCTGGGGTGCATCTTCGGGCCTCGTGAGGAGGGCCTTTTCCGAGCCTCCTGGGACCCTGTTCCAGCGGAAACTATAGTTATCGGTTCGTGCATCCACTCTTGGGCCATTCTTGAAACTGTCTTCGTCCCATCGTCGCCGTCGTCGTCGTCGTCGTCTTTCTCGCCGTCGTCGCCGTCTGTCGTCGACGACGTCGGCAGCGGCGGCTGCAATGTTTGGCGGCAGTGTCCTCAAGTGCGCGGTCCGGATACTACGATGCGGCTCTGAAAGCGACCGACGACGACGACGACGATGAAATCGACGACAAAAGACGTCGGCGAGAATCGCGAACGAAGCGTTGCTGCAGAAGGCGGAAAAAGGAACGAGGTTCCTCCACAGGCGTCGCTTGTCACTCTCGCTAAGAACAAATGCTGGTATCGGATGCGTTATGCTCACGATCGCGGCACCGCTGGAACGAAACAATCGAGCTCCATCCAGTGCATATACCTACACGAACAACGCCCGCCATATACACTAATCTGTGTAAACATACACGATCAACATGTGCACGTCAACAGATGGAATCGTGGAAAAAGCGTCGGGCATGCTGCCTACGCGGCTGAACTAGGTGCGACGTAACACACGGTGAACCTAAACGCACGCGCTGCCAAGAACCACGCCGAAACATGCTGCACCGAAGCGGCGCATCTCACTGGATCGTAAGCTGCTCGGTTTTCGCAGTGCCCAGCATAGCAGGCTGGCCGATGGGGATTATCATTGCATCCTTCAAAAGATAAAGCATGCCCTTTGAATTGCCAATAGCCCCGCGGCCTGTTCCGTAATAGACCACGACGTCCTGGAAGTTCCGCAGCGCCTGGGACTCCGCATTGTGCTTCATGGCGCAGCAAGTGAAATAGAGGCCACTGTTGTCCACTATATCAAATACCCGCTTCGCGTTCCCCCCTTGCGACATCTCCAACGACTGCAGATCCATGACCTTGCCTCTCACCGACAACCGAAATGGAGGGCTCAATTTGTTGCGGAGAGATCGAAACACGGAAACGCAGCAATCCGAAGGTGGAACCGCAAAACTAATACTGATGAGATTGTCTGACGTCGGCCGAGGCAGAACCTGCGCCGTCGTGCCCATCTCCCCGCCGACGGCTTCGATCGACGTTAACGAACGAATTCGCGTCAGCAACTCCCCGTTCCAATTGTCTTTCCCTGCCCCCTGGATGCGAACCTTCGACAGGTCCACGACGCAAGGAGCAACCTCGCCCCGCTGGCGACGCTCCTGTACAGCGCGCCAGATGCTGCAGATATCTTCAGCGATGTCACCCCATAAGCACGCGCTGATGGGCCCCGTCTTGTCCACCATGACCACGTCGGCCGCCTTCCCTTCCGAGGGCGGATCCTTGCGCTTCCGCGGAGAACCCTCCGCGTACTGCACATCGCGGGGAGTATTGTCGCAGACAATCAAGACGCCCTGAAAATGACACCTGCCACCCTCCTCGGAGGACTGGAGAACTGCCAGCGCAGATTTGTGGACAATCTCTTCGGGCGCCGAAGAAGCCGGACCAAACGCCTGCCCTGACAGAATCAGATCAATGCCAGACAAACCAGAAGTCGACGCCGCACCGGACAGCTGCGTCGATCCATGAGCCACGGCGCTCTCTTCGGCGTGTCGGGGAGCAGATTCCCCAGGACGAAACTCAGATATGCTCTCCCGCAGCAAGGAGTAGCACCGGGGAGCCGCAAATTTTTCTGGTGGCTCCGAAGGTGGCATTCTCCTCTGCTTGGCCGTGCGCGATTGCACATACTCGCTGTATTGCTCCGTGACGCCCTGCACGGCGAAAGCATGATCGTTCGCGGATGCCTTCAGAAGGAGTGTTTTACGCTCGTCTGCTTCGCCTGCAGAAACCCCGAACCCCGGGTCCATCATCGGCCGAAACGCCACGGTCGCGCCCGGGCCAGTGCCCGCGTTCTTCCGCGCGCCCGCATCGCATGTCTCGCGCACAATGCGAAAATAGTCCTCCAAAAACTCCCTGAAGCTATCATGAGCGTCCGCCCCACTAAGTTCGACGACTTCAGCAATCTCCTCCCGAGCTGACCACAAATTCTTGTCCAGCGACTCCAACAATTCAGGTCTCATGGCCGACGCAGCATCGCGAGCGAAAACCTTCTTCTCTTCGTCGCCGATCGATTGCGGGGAGATCAGCGGGATGAACGTTGACTGGGCAAACCGGTGAGCAAATGTCCTGGCATCAAGCGATTGCTTGGCGAGGAAATCACGCACTTGCTTGTTATAAACATTGAGGGCCCACAGAGCATGCTTCTCGTCAATCGAAGTCGCTGGATCACCAGGACTATTATCAATGTAGCTCTGAATCTGCACAGCATCCATCTTCTCGACGAGACTCACGGCTTGCTCGGCGGCATTATGCTCGTCGTCCGCTCGCAACTCTATCGGGCGAATGAGCGGGAATTCTTTCGCCGCCGCTCGAGAATGCAGTTCATCCACCAACGTGGAAATGTCGTCCGCCAACTCCTCGCCGTCGGGACCTGGATCCCCCAGCGATTCGAGCAGCGTCGTCAAATCAGCCCTCGTAAACGATTTGTCGAGAGGCCAGCCCTTACCCTCGAAAACCTTCTTCAGCGACTCCACTGCAACCGCTTCGGCACTTGCGCCGCTACTCGCAGCATCGCCGCGACGCCCTTCCAGGAACACGCGCAAGCCCTCAACGCCAGGCTTCTGCATGGCTTTCTCTGCCGCGCCGTCCGCTTGCACAGCGATATTGTCGAAAGACGCCTCCACAGCCTCGCGGAAGCTCGGAGCGGACATGGCCCGAGCGCCGCGCTGGCGGATTGGCAACCTCGCTAAACGATGTAGAATCGCAAAAGCTGAGTGAACAACGGCTGAGCTACGCTCA